CAGACATGAAATAAAAACATGTACCACTCTCTTCAAAAGTTGAGGGGCTTGCTTAGGGAATTTCATGATGAAGACCCTGCTCTCATCCGCTATACGTGGCATATACTTATCGGTGATACGGCTGAGTTTGTCAGCGGCATCCCCCAGTCGGCAGCGAGCCATGTGTCTGTGTCGGTACTGCTTGTAGGTTGCTTGCTCTGCCCTGTTCAGTGCCTCCCCCGTGTGCTTTACGTACTCCTCCGTCTTCTCGTTGTGCTTGATTCCGGAGTTGGCCCATTGGTCCAAGCTGGGATCGGCATCAAACTGCAGGTGCAAACCTTTGCGCGTCTTGAAGAGGACTTTCTCCGATGCGCCCCCGTCCATTGGTGCGCCTTCTCTGTGTTGTAGAGAACCTCCCCCTTTCGTCTTGGAAGGATCTTTGACTTGCTTTGCCTTTGAGGCAGAAGAGCTCGCTGTAGCTTTATGCTCCCCCGCTGGTGGGGCTTCTGGGCGCGGCCGTGCTGGCATCGCCCCTGAAGCTTGCCCTGTCACCCCGTGTAGTCGGCACTGCGGGTCAGAGCGGTCATGGCGCTTCCTGAACCCCACCTGGCACATCCCCTCGGCGAAGCGGCATAGCTTGCAAATTCTCTCCCCACCTCCTGCCATAGTCCACGTAGGTATTCTATGCTATCTCGCCGTTCTTGACCCAAGTCACGATCAGGTAGGCAAAGGACTTTGTCTCCCAGCGCAGTAATCCCCCCGAATCGCTGTGGCAAACAAGGAGAGGTGGTGGAAGGTGAAGAAGTGAACGTACTCCCCCACCGGAATGTCCAAGGAGAAGACCTTGCACGCACTCGGTCCCCCTCAAGGGTGTAGTGCGGCACTCATGCCCTCCTCGAGTATTGCACGGAGTCCTATCGAAGGCGGTATGGGCCACTGAAGCCAAATGCGTCGGATATGTTTGCTCAAGCACCGCTGAGGAGAAACAGAAAGGCTTGCCCAGGGACAAGCCCTAGGTCAACCCTCTGTCTCCCCCCCCGATGCAAGGAGGTGGAACAGACCTCCAAGCAAGGGCGCATTACTTGAGCCAAAATGGCTACTGGAAGCTCTCTCTCTCTCTCTCTCTCTTCCTTCCTTCAGGTAACGGGAGCGTGCGAAGCTCCCCGGCCCATAGGGCCCTCTCTCTCTCTCTCTATCTCTCTTTCTTTCGGCAGGGCTAGGGGCTCTCTCTCTCTCTCTTGCTTGCTTGCTTGCTTGCTCGGGGTATGAGCTCCCGAAAGAGCCCTGGCCCTCTCTCTCTCTCTCTCTCTTACAACTAGGACATGTAAGTATCAGGAGGCAATATGTGCCCCAATAAGCCCCCTTCGTCTGTCGACCTGGCTGCTTTTGTCGACCGCAAATATCCGCTGCGTTGGTCTCTAAGCGCCTGTGAGAGCAATTCCATCCTAAGTCAGAGTTGAGAGTACAAGAAGCCGATGGAAGCAGGAACACAGCCTAACAAACTGCAGCCATACCTACAAGGATCAGCTAACATGGCTATATTGTGACGAAATGTGAGAAAATCTGGAGAGATGCCTGCACTCATGCAGGCTGGCATCCCAGCATGCGCTGCCGAGACCAGTCCAAGAACCTCAACGCAAAGGTCGCCAACAAAAAGCAAGACCTGCAACATCCCGCACAAAAGAGCATGGATGCCTCCGAAGCAATGCTTAATCTTACCCTCAGTGTTTTGTGAAACCAAAAAGATACCTTCCAGGTTGGAACTTGGCTTGCTGCTCGTCTTCCTGCAGGCATTCGGAGGAGCCGATCCCCGTGCCGCAGCGCCTGAGAGGCATCGGAATGGCTGCTCTCATACACTACCGACATTCCGAATTTCGAATTGCGCCCGGACATCAAATACCAAATTCACTACACTGCCACTGCGATTTCCTGTAGGGCTTCCGGCAGAGCCTTCGGAGCTTGCTGAGAAGGCGACTGCGCCACTTGGACTGCCAGCCAATGCTTGCAGCAAAGCTCCCCGGCCTCGTTCAGTGGTTCGAAGTGGGGCATGCGGCATACAGCATTACAGAGCACCTGTAACGGGCACGTTGGAGTTCGCATGTGGAAAGTCAATTCCTTCCCAGTCATACAAAGACGATTCAATTCAATCTTGTGTTCCTTTTCAAGCAACTGCTGACGCTCTGAGCGTTGCTCAGAGCGTTGAGCCCGCCTAATGGCGGCCCCAAAGTCTTGTGAACAATATTCGCGTGAGGCTCCCGACAGAAACACCGTGCATCTGCTTGCAATGGAGAACGTACTTATTGCTTGGAAACTCCCTCTTGAACTAGGTAAAACGTGTTTTTGTTCACTCAGCATCGTTGCTACAACTTTGCATTCATGAAGCAGCTGCGCAGAAAGGGTTTTGAACGTCTGTTTGCAGTAGGTGCATCTCGAACTGAAATACAGACCGTGCACATCCCAGCACAATGTTGTACATACGTGTCGCGCCAACTGAATGGCAGGGGAGCGGGAGCGGGAGCGAGAGCGAGAAGGAGAGGGAGAGGGGAGAGGGGGAGGGGAGAAGAGGAGGGAAGGAGAGAGAGAGAGAGGCTGCTATCCCGCAAACTCGCAGAGCCTCGATCACTCGTCGCCCGAAGTATGGACCTGAGCGGGGTCGATGCAGCGGCCATATCCTACAAGAAGCAAGAAGCGCAGCGGACAGCGGAGCTCCAATCTTTTCGCTTTTTGAAAATGCCAGAGCTCCACGCAGTGCTCCTCCCGGTCCTCGCGGAGGGCCCAGGCCTTGTCGCGGCGCGTCTGGCGAAAGCGGCTCCGCTGTTTGGCCGGGACGCTCCGGCTTTGGACTTCTCGGAGCCTTAGCTGCGCCGCGGCGGCCGCGGTCTTCTCCCAGATCGCCAGAGGGCTCTCCTCCACGAGGCCGCGAGAGAGCGCGTAGTTCGAGAAGAGGATGGCCTCCCAAAGACACACTCGCATATCGACGCGCCACACACTCACTCGAGCCCTAATGCCATCCTACAAGGTGCAGTCCAGCGGCTAGATGGCCGCCGGGCTGCAATGCTGCAGGCACTTCGGTGAAGAGGCGGTCGAAGAGGTCAGCGGGGTAGTCATTGCCAAAGACCACATCCCCTGCCCCGTCGGGCCGAATCTCGGGTGCTCTTGGTACCCAGGGAGGGTTGAAGACGACCAAGTCAAAGGGGCCCTCCTCTTGCAGCCTCGTGAAGAGGTCACTCTGTACCACCCGGACTCGCTGCACGCCCCATCGCTGCAACTCTGCCTTCACGGAGAAGACGGCATTCGGACATAGGTCCGAGGCAATAATCTCCAGGTCTGGGAACATACTGCGCAGTATGAAGGTGATCACCTGGAACTTGGAAACTTGCAGCCATGTCAGGCACCACCAATGCACAGGGGACTCAGCTCCGGACGCCACATCCTGTTCCAAGGTCCAGGACACGCCAGGAAGCGCGGGGCTTCAGCTGCCCCAACCAGTCGCGTAGCAACTGGAAGTGCTCCTCAGCTTTGACGCATCGATGCTGCGATCTACTGCGACTCTGTCGGGACTCGAGCTCTCCCTGAGTGATTTGAGAAGCTAGGTCTCCGTGGGAGATGGAGTGAAGTAGACGCCGAAGAAAGGATGAAGCTTGTTCTGCAGGAAGCTGTAGTCCAAGCCGTTCACAAAAAACTGCCAGGCCACATTCAGCGCAGTGACGTCGTTGGCACGAAAATAGAGTCGTGAAGACCCGGCATAGAGCAAAGGCACATAGCCCAGTGGTGGTCCCCCCACGGGCTTCAATTCGCCAGTGGACACGACAACCTCTGCAAAGAGCCGCCGAGCGCAGTTGCGAAGAAGCCGCCTCCGCTGACGGTTGGCTTCGGCCGTGTCCTCGAGATGGCCAAGGCGCTCCGTGGCAAGGGCGTTAAGTGCCTTCCTCGCATCTAGAACATCCGTCCAGCGGCCAGTGAAGAGCACACTCTGGCCCTCCCACACTTGCTCTGCAACTTTTGAGAAATCTGTGTGCCCGCTGCCGACCAAAAGCGCCCGGTCGGCTTCCTCCTTTGCAACAGGCACTGGCTTCCAAATCGTCGAATCCAGGGGCGGCAGGAATGGAGGCGTCTTTGCACCTTGCTGCACCCGTCTGGCTGCCACTTTGGGGGCCGCTCTCTTCTTGGCCTGTGCCTTCGGAGCTCTCTGAGATCCGGCTCGGGATCTGCTCTGAGGGAGCGCAAGTAGCTGGGCTCGGTGTCTGAGGGGCAGCTTGGAGAACAGCAGCAAGCCTTTTCAGAGAGGGGTGAATGAAACAAACGCCCTGAACGTCTGGTTCCGTTGCGTCTATTCCAGTGCGTTGTCGCGAGAGCCACCACAAGTGCTGCGTTGTCTATGATGTTCTCGTTACTTCACCTCAACCGCCTGTGATGCCCTGCAGCCCAGACGCATGCTGCTGAGACCATGCAGCAGCAACCGCGCGACTCTCTTGAGCTCTTGGCGGTGTCGCTAGCGAGGTGGAAGATCCTGCAAGGCATGGGAAGAAGAGGACCCAGTCTAGTCATACATGAATGCCCTGCTGTCATGGCTTTCAAGCCCCGCCTGGGAAGAACAGCAACGGCCCCAGGCGGCTCTTGACTGACCACCTCACACAAAGCCATCGTGGAGCTCCCGACGCGAAACTGTCGAGCACGTCTGGAATAGGAGTACTCACAGCGCTCCCCCAAGCCTGCGCAGCAAAAACATGTCCCAACGTCGCAAAAGGCGGCTTCGCCCACTCGTGCGTAGCAAAAGCCGTAGCACAAGCATACGAGGGACCGGACAGCATGAGCTGTGCTACTTCGTTTTACTGCCATGCATGTGTCGACTGCCATGCATGTGTCGACTGAACACATGTTAGCAGTTAGCAATATCTTTCAGATGCCCAAAGGCGCTGTACGGCATTTTTGATTTAGCTTATGTCTTATGTGGTGAGCCAGCAGTTTTCGATGGCCACGGGCACAAGCCGCTTGAGCAACAAGGGCTGGCTGTGCAGATTCAGCTAGATGTGCACACATTGCATCCATTTGCATCCATTCATCAATCGGCAGAAACACGATGAAGAAACGAAGACTTGCCGCAATCCCTCTGTTGCAGGTTGTGTTTCTGCCCGCTGCTTCTGGGCCCGCTTCCCGCTTCCAAACCAGCCGCTCGGGCACCGGGCAAGAGCAGTAGAGGCCCCGTGCCAGGACGAAGTGCGAGGCCTTCTGGCCACGTACCTGGTGAAGCCGATTCTTGGCTTTGGCCCTGGCCTTCGAGACTCCGCCCATCTCCGCCTCGTAGGCCTTCCGACCCAGCTGGCTGGTCACCAAGTGGATGCCTCGGATCTGGACTCTTTGCCCAAACGAAGAGAGAGAGAGAGAGAGAGAGAGAGAGAGAGAGAGAGAGAGAGAGAGAGGGGGGGAGCGCGCACAAATCCCCCGCGGGCACTAGATCACTCTGCCCCTTCGCCCACATGCAGCCAAAGCGGCTCTTGGAGTCCACGAGGGCCAAGGCCTCTCGGTAGCAGACTTCTCTTCAGCTCTCGAGACTTGGTCCCGGGCCCGGTGAACCCCAGAAAACTCGAGGGATCCTATTAGCGAGACTCCGAAGGCAGAATGTAGCCGTGCAGTTCCAGCAAGACCCTTGAGTGGCAGTGAGCTCATGAAGCATGTCACCATGAGTGGAAGGCCCATGCAGACAAACCTGCACGATGGTGACTTTGGTAATTGCAGTCACTTTCAGCAGCCTGCTGAATCACGGAGTCGGGAAGTAGCGTGGACCTGTGCCATGCCGTGCCAAGGTCACCTCATGCCTCATGTTCAGTCTGCGGCTGTCTAATGCCGTAAGCCTTCCATGCACTGAACGGCCTCATGCACTCTCTGCAAGGCCGCGACACACTTGGCCAAACCCAAACCGTGGAAGCAATGAAAGCCAAGGCGGAGATCCCTTCCCAAGCGCGACGGGCTAGCAGGCTCGCCAGCGCGACCTGTCCATGGCGCTCTTCCACACAGAACTTGGGTTGGAAGAACATTCTCAAGCATTGTACTGTACCACTCCTCAATTGCAAGCGCGACTGCCTCCGAAGCCATCACTTGCCGCGTGCCGACCAGACGGGAAACCTGCCGGTGACGGGAGGAGGACAGACAGCCTCTTGCCACAGTGTGCCAAGGCTTTGCATGTAAAGCTCATGAACCGGCTTTGCATGTCAACTCATAACCACGGAGCCACGCCTGTGGCTCCATAGCTTCCCGTGACAAGTCGCGCGGCACATCCTGCGGGATGACGGCGGCAATCACAAGCCCTGCAACCGATGCAGGAGCCCCCTCCCCTTCCTGGACGGCACCAGCAACATCGTCTTCGTCCACGACCTTGTGTCAGCAAGCCCTCCAAGCGCAGCCTATGCAGAGATGCAGAGACGCTTGTCGATGCAAGCGTTGCCCGTGACCGGGTCTCGCGGAGCATACGCTCCAAGACAGGCTGCGACGACTAGTCACTAGTGGATTTCTCTGCGGGGTTTCTGGGAAAGTAAGATCTGCATCTAGACCAGAAATCCTCGGGGCTAGCTGGTGATTCCATGGCATGAGGGCTGTTGTTTTCTACAGGAGGTCAGAACATGCGATCTGCAATTTTCCAACACTCCAACACAGGCAACACTGCATGATTTCGGACAGGCCGGAAGGCAGGAGTCTGGTGCGTTGCTATGTGCTTTAAGCACTCTAGGGTTACGCCCAGCATCGTGTGAAGTAGCCTTTTCCAGGAATACATATTTTTAACGATGTCGATACGATTTTGATATTATGATTTCAGGAATCCTTCCGCTTACGATTTTCTTATGGTTTACGATTTGGAGACGGCGTGGATACGATTTCGATACGTCTCAAGCCTTCTCCAGCACTGGTGCTGATATGAATATGTGTTTGCTATGCTTTTGATATGGTTGTCGGACTTGCAGCCGAGTATTTTCCCAGCCATGCTTTCCCGCATAGCGAAAATCAAAACAATATTCAAAACCATAACAGAACCATATTCAAAGACATATCAAAACCAGAAGCGGTACGAAACCCTAAACCACATCAAAATCGTAAATTTATCATAAAGGAGTCATTGGCACAACCCGCAAACTTGAGGACGTTGCTTCGGTGCTTTCTCTTGACTTGGTGTTGCTTCAAGCACCAGGCCCGTTTATGGCGGTACACCTGTCTGCCTTCGATGCCAAGGCCACTATCGCTCACAGGATTTGTCACTCGCAGGCTTGCTTGCTTTGTCAAAGACGGAAGTGTCCGGAAACGTCCAGATTCGCAGGCGGCATTCGAGGCAACTGGGATGCGCGCCAATGCAGCCAAGACATCTTGCAGAGCCTCCCGTCGGCTCTGAGTCTGCTCACCTTTGGAAGGAACACCCTCGCACCTTGAAGCGATGCACCCGCGATGCAACGGACATTGGGGCCACAAGTCGCGATGGCTTGCGAGTGGAGGATTCCTTCTACGGACTTCCGCTGGCCTCTATGTAAGTGGCTTGGCTGAACAGCGACTTTGCAGTGCTTCCTTTTGTGGTCTGGTTGGGTTTAGGGTGTGGTCACATCTGGACTGGGGACATGTCAGAATCGAGGCCAACTGCGGAAATGGCCAGCTTAGCTGAAAGAGTTCGGGCCTGTCAAACCATCGATGAATCGATGAAGGTGGGACGATGTGCATGCCCAAGCAGAGAAACATGTAACTGCCAGCAGCTCTGGCTACCCCCGCAGGTTGCAAGTGCACGGCCCTTCTCCGTTGTCATTTTTTTGTGAAGAGCTCAAATCGAAGGGCGGGTGGGCGAGCTTTGTCCCTGATCCGCCTGGACGCCTCAGGATGGCCAGCACGCTATCCCTCATACGGAAACGCAGCGTATGCATGGCAAGAGCAAGCTCTCTTTGCATCCGTGCCTTCAGCGCCTTCATGTGAGGCCATGCAGCTTGTGACCTGCATCTACTGGGTGGTGGGGCCAGGCATGTGCTGACAGCCATGAGATTGCACACGATCTGAAGCTTGAGCCTCCTTGGGCAATTGCTTCTTCAGAAGTTCCGCTTTTGCAGAATCGTCCTTGAGGGTGTCCCAGCGAAAATACCTGGGCTGTCACACAGTCGGGTCAGACAGAAAAAGGCATACAACTCTATGCATGTGAATGGAACTGCGTCTGTTGGGATGGAAAGGCCTTTTCTAGTCGCGGATGGTCGCGGGCTTGGGGGTTCAGTCTTTAAATACGATGGGCTTCAAGACTGTAGAAGATGCTTCAACAGTCTGCGTTCGACTGGCAATGCACCATGTGCGGACAAAAGATGCCTAGGTGATGTTTTCCATGAAAGATACAGTGATGCAGAGGTGTCCAGATCTGTCAAGCCGCGGGATGACCTGTAGGTTGAAGCCCATTGCTGAGATCATCTCCTGAGAAGCTGCAGCTTCAAGCCAGAAGCTACGATGCCAGTGGTTGAAGCCTTAGCACAGGCCCAGCCCAGCATGCGAAGCCCTGACCCCTCCTGACGGCGCCGCGCGAGCGCGGTGATCTGTGGGGAGCGCAGGTAGTACTGCCAGGGCGCCGCTGCCTCCACGACCACCATGCTGGGCAGGTGCCTTTTTGAGAACTGGCAGAGGAGGCCAAAGAGAGACAGAGAGATGTAGGAACGGTCGGAGTTTAAGGCGTATAAGGAGTGCATCAAGAGCAGCACACACCTGAA